TAAAACTCAGTTTCTTTCGTTCTGGTTTAAGAACTGGTTTAAAATTTCAGGTTAGAAAGGTAAAAATGTTCACCTTCCAGTTTGTTCTCCTCTCCTCATGTTTTTTAAATGAAAGCAAAATGGAAAAGTGGAAACAATCTCAATACAAAAAAGATTTTGACCCTTTCCTCCTATTTCATCTTAGAAAAACTCACGTGAGAATGTCTGAGAAGATGATGTAAATAAGTTCAAGTTGTTTGGTTGGTTTTTTTCAGTAACTCCAAAGAAAAGTGGTAATTAATGCCCTTCCAAATGTCTTAGGGCTGCATCCCCATGTGCTGAATCCAGTCCCCAGGTGTTCCCCAGCTGCTGAATGGCAGTGGCATGAAGCTGGGGAATAGAACATGCAGTGCACATGTGCCTGTGTGTGTTCAGTGCTGTCACATGGGGATCCACGAGGCCATGATGCAGGGATCCATGGCCATAACACAGGGATATCTGTGCAGCCATGACATGGAGACCAATGGCCATGACACATGAATCTATGGGACCATGACATAGGGACCCTTGAGGCCATGACGTGGGGATCCGTGAAGCCATGACACAGGGATCCATGAGACCAGGACACTGGAGACCCATGAGACCACGACGCGGGGACCCTTGAGGCCAAGACATGGGGACCCAGAGGCCATGACACAAGGTTCCATAGGACCATGATGCAGGAACACACGGCCATGACATTGGGGATCCATAAGGCCATGACATGGGGATCCATGGCAGTGACAGTGGGGGCCCAGGAGGCCATGATGTGGGGATCCATGAGGCCGTGACATGGGGACCTTGGGCACCCTGTGCTTGCAGCAAAGTCGGTGCCCTTTGCCCAGCCTGCAGATGCAGTGTGTCGACAGAAGTTAGCAGCTGGTGTCAAATGGCCTTGACTCTGATTTATCATTGGTTTATCAGCAGATTAAAGTTGACAACAGCTTAGGGCCATAATTGAGCAGTGATCCTTTTTGCAGGAGCTTCGTCGGCCCGGAGTAGCTCCCTTGTGGGCTCACTCGCGCCCTTGATATCATCCACAGGGTCTGGTGAGGTCTGGGAGATGTCCTGTGCTGCTCTGATAAGGTTCGTGCTGCCAGAAAAGAGGACAAGGAGCTCTGGGAACGGTTGAGGGCAGTGTTGAAACACAACGGCGCTGTCTGGATGCGGCCAGCGCAGGAGCAAGATTGTTTTAGGGAGGGCAAAGAGCTTCCAGCAACAGAGTGGGATGGAAAATAGGGCTGTAGCTGTAGAAATAAAGCTGCTCTGTTTTAGGACTCCTTGGAAACGATGGGAGAAGCCTTATGAGAGCACCTCAGGGCAGACCCCAAGCCTGGGTGCTCCTAGTGCTGGCAGAGCCCCCGCAGCCCCCACCTCCTCACTGCCCCTCTATGGAACGATCCCTCTGCTGAAAGGCAACCAGAAAATAAATATATGTTAAAAACCCACCAAAAACCAGTGACTAATTACTCTGCTTTCTGCGTGCGGATATTGGTCCAGCACCGCTTGGATGGAGATCAACTTATTTTACGGGGAACCAAAACATCTTCAGATGGGACTGGCTTTGTTTAAAGGCAAAATGCCTTATTACCCACTGCCGAAGCCCCGAGCCATGCCTTGCTCTGCAGAGTTTCAAAATATTGTTCCGCTTGTTGCTGCTGTGCTTTGCCCTCTAACAAGAGCCAGGTGCTGCGGAGTCAGAGCAGCGGTGCGGTCCTGTCCTGCCTCCCTCTGCCCCACCATCACTCGCTGAAAATGAATGCATAAAGACATAGGTGCATCGGGTGATTGTCCTTCCCTTGTGAAAAGCTGCAGTGAAATTGGATGTTTCAATGCTTCACATAGCTTTTCATTAAGGAATTGGACTCGATGATCTGTATGGCAGTTGGGCTTGATGATCCTCACGGGCCCTTTCTGACCTGGTATGAATCATAGACAGAATCATAGAGTCCTCGAGGTTGGAAACGATCACTGAGATCAGCGAGTCCAACCATCAACCCATACCCACGATGCCCACACATGGAACCGTAGAATCGTTACGGTTGGAAAGACCGCTAGGATCATCCACTCATCGACCCATCACCACCACACCCACTAAATCCTCCAAATGAAGTGCCCAATTTTCCTTTTCTTTTGAGCAAAAACATCTGCAGTTTGCCTGTGCGTTCGGCTGCTGTTGGTTTACCACTTTTTCTCCTCGAGCTCAGCAGAGCGCGTAAAGCAAACAAGCCACCCAAAGACACCTTTAATCCTTTTTTTATCTTTTTTAATGTATAACAGTTATGCCTGAGTTACAGAGAGACACCTACAGGCAGCAGGTAGTTAAAGCAAATACCAGTTTCTCTTTCTACTATTACTACTCCATATAGCTGAATAAATTATGGTGCGATTATATATATACACACGCACGCACGCAGGCACACACGCACACACACTCCCAGGCAGGCATACACATGGAGCAAAATGGCTATGAGTCAAACACAGAAGCAACATATCCGCAGTTACTAGGAATAAGGAATGTCCTATAGTGCTATGTAGATACTCCCCAGGTGGGTATATGGAGGTGTTAGGGATGACGGGTTAGAAGCGTTAAATACACAAAGTCTCTGAGCGACAGGAGCCAATCTGCTGAGTTGTCGGACACGGTGAGGAAATGTCCTTTTTGTGCTCTCAGGACGGTGCTGAGAGGTGAAGCAGGGGCACGGGGAGGTCCAGAACCCGTTGGTGGGTTGGCTGTCCCCCAGGGATCTCAGTCTGCAGGCATGGAAGAAATGTCGACCTGAGAGAACGGCTCTGGAGCGCGGCCCTTTGCTCGTTGGCTTCTTGTGTGGTTGGGATCCATGGGTGCCCAACAAAGTCACCATGGGGTGCAGGTCTGCTCCGTCCCTGATGGGTCCGCGCGTCCCTCAAGGTCCCACCACCAGCTCTGCTCTTCCATGCTCGGTTTTCTTTCGCCTCCCTCTGTTCTGTCCCACCCCACCCCCTGAGTTTGTCTCTTTTCAGCAGAACTGAGGTTGGCAACCCGTAAAACAAAAGGAAAGGAAAAATAAAATAAAATACTTGGACTCTCATACATGAGTGTATCTTCAGAACAAAACGAAGAAACAAACAACAACAAAAAAAAAAGAATTCCCCCAAATCAAACCCGTCCCACCCCAAAGAGTCTGGAATGTATTTTGAAAACACACAATAGGCAAAATTTCTACGTTTCATCCTCCCCACTCCCCCATTTTTTTTCTTTTTTTTTTTTTTAAATTTTTTTAATATTATATATATATATTTTTTAACTAGCACGGCACTCACTGTGTTTTTAGTATTAAAAAAAAAAAAAAAAAAGAAAGAAAAAAAAAAAGGGAGAAAAAAAGAAAGTCAACTTTCTATAAACATACAGCACATGACCAAAATTTCCAACTAATGTACAAAGTGCGACCACGAGGGAAAGGTCAGAGAACAGCTATGGGTGCTAGCGGGGCGATTCGGGTTCCCCTACAAACTCTATTTACAGCAGTGCCCGGGTGCTCACGGACTTTCAGGTGAAGGTGAATGGCAAACAGGCTCCCTCTATTTAAGACTTTAACTGGGGGGGTTCTGTGCACAGCGCCTTGGGGGTGGTGGGGAGGTGGGCTGGATGCACGGCTGGGAGATAGGATGGAGTGGGGAGAAGAGAGCTGGTAGGATTTTGCTAGTGGGAGCGATTCTCGTGACAAACTGAAACTTTCCTTCTAGTTTTGCAGGCAGCGAGGAATGCATTTGGTCAGAAATTTCAGTGTGAAGTAGTGGGGATTGTTGGCCTCTTGTGGGTTGTTTTAGCAGATGGGTGTTTCTGGCATTGACCCCTATGCTCGTGTCCAACACACAGACACCCTTGTCCTTGCCCTAGAACCCCCTGTTCTGACACGGCAGTCACAGAAGGTGACTTGGGAATGACATTTAAGCCAGGACTGGTGTTCAAATGGGATTTCTCCCTTCAATCAGCTCAAGAGCAGCAGCTTGTGTTGCTTACCAAGACCTCAGACTGGCACAAACAGGGCAATGGCGTGACTAGCAGAATGGCCAAGCCGCTGTGTTAGCACACTTTTAGGAATGTAGGCTCCATCACCCACATGCAGCAAAGCTGATCAATGCTGTATATGGATCTGAAAGGATGCTGAGCAATGCAAGAAGCAAAATTCGGCTTTGGTCCCGACAGGTACTTGCCCACATGGCTCAGGAGAAAGCAGCTTGGAGGTTCGTGATAAATGAGGCTGGGGCAAGGCAGGGGGGAGTTCCCCAGGAAAACGTTGTTTCTGCTGCAAAAACAACGTCAGATTATTTGGAAAGAACTGAAGAAACAGAAGTAAGAGAAAAAGGGCACAGCAGAAGTGTCTGTAACAACTTGGCCCTAGAAGCATGTGCTGGAGCAGAACTCATCCGACCGTGCAGCCCCGTTTTCATTCAGGTGGCCCTTTCCTTGCAGCAGAACCCCATTCTGCACACTGACCCTCTGAAACAATTTTGGCTCTTCCTTCTCTCCACTGTTTTTGCTCTCAATGGCCAACCTCTCTCCCACTGAAGGATGGAAGGGCCACAACAGTCCTTGCCCTCTTGACTGCAAGGGTGAAAGCTCCGCAATAGTCATCTGTATCTGATGCCCTGTATCTGGCCAGAGTTTGCTACCACATCTTCTGCCACTATCTGATGCCCGTGTCCTTTTGGTCCCTATGAGGAGACGTAAATGTTGCTCGTGCCTGTGCCCACAATCTCCAGTCCTCATGCAGCAATTCACATTTACACCTTCCGAAGGTCCCAGGCTGGACGGACATCCACCCTGCCCCTGCTTAGCAGCAATCTGGCCTGCTTTGGCCCTGCTTTGGGAAGCCATCGGTGAGAACAGAAGGGTAGAGTGGGGTGGGGACATTTGTTGTCTCTTTAATTTACGTTTGAGCTTTTTGTTTGTCTTTGCATGTTTGTTCGTATTTCTTGTGTTCATGTTGCTGTTTTTTGTTGTTGTTGTTGTTGTTTGTTTAAAACAAGTTCTTATATTTGGTCCATAGGTCTTCTGTGGTCCCAAATTACATCATCCTTAACAATCAGCTTGGTTATTCCTTCCTATACAACATTCACCAAATTTACACCAATGGAAAGAAAAGGAAACAAAAAGAAAAGATCAATTTGGCTTTGACTATGCCAACTACCTAGATCAATGGAAGGTCCTTTAGCATGGGCAAAACACCATGGCCAGGTAGAGGGAGGGCATGAACTCGGGGTTAATAAATGTACCCAACCTATTGTCTCTGGCCACAGAATTCAGGTCAATGAGGCCAGGCTTGCCTCTGAGCACTCTGGGAAGAGCTGGATTCTTGGAGAGCCCTCCCCATCCTTCCCGTCTCCTTCTCAAGTTGATGCGAGGTGGAAGGGAGTTGGGAAGGAGTAGGGTCCGGGTACAGGCAGATCCCTGGAAGGCTGGTAGTGTTTCTCCAGTGGTACCGAGTTGCTGGAGTGGGTTGTTGGCACAGTTGGACTCTTCAGTAAGCTTGGCCTGTCTCTACTGGTAGGAGCCCCAGAACAGCCGAATGTTCTCCCAGCTTCATCCTGCGCTGCGTGGACAGGCTCACGTTCTTGGCCAAATAATCAACAGCAGCTGAAGAGAGAGGTGATGGAGGAAAGGAGAGTGAGAAAACAGCACAATATGAGGTTTATTATTTAGTGGAAATGAGGTATTTGCCATCCAAGGATGTGTGTGACCAACAGACCCTGCAGACTGATTCTTAGAAATTGATGCTTGGATCAGGGGTTGTGCTCCTAGGAAAGGGTGCATCCTTCTAGATCAACCTGCCACGGCTGTGGGTCCCTCACGTTGCCCCATGGACCTACTAAGGTTGAAGATCCTACTTCTGCCATAGAAAATGGTGTTTCCAGGGGAGCTGCCCAAAGATGAGCCTGAGGCAGCTCCAGCCTCACCAGCGATGCCACTGCAAATGAAATTTCAGCAGGACTTCAGCAGCCTGGACAGGGCTTGAATGTGACTCAGCCACCACGTGCTGACTCATCCCTCTGTCCTAAGGGAAACGCTTTATCTCTGTCTTGGTGAGAAATGCATTCCAACTCGCCAGCCTGGCCCGCGGTCTGGGGGGGGACGAGGAGCAGGGCAGGATGGTGACATTGCTCATTAGCTCAGCTTCAGTCAAAGTCTCTCCCTTTCCCTAGCTTTAATGTCTCAAATTAGATTAATAAGGAGCTGGCAAGAGATGTACAATCGGTGCCAATGAGTAAACAAATTTCAGCCATCAACGTCTTGTCAGATGCCTGCCCCAGAGGAGGTCCCTTCCAGACACAAATTCTTATTAGACTTGTCATATCTATTAGAATTCCTTTCACGCTTCTGCGTTCCATCACCGGCATCATTAACACAGCTCCGGCCTTTGGGAACTGCAAGGACCACATTAATCTGGCATCGCTGCTCCTCACCGGCTGGGACAGCACTGGCTGGTGTGTGGGGAGCAGACAGGGTACAACTTCTACTGGTGGCACTTGGTTGGACACTTGGAGGTGGCACGGTTGGGCTGGTGCTCCTCCTGGACTGGGAGGAATCCCAGTAGGAGCAGCTCGTCTTGAGCTCTTCAAGGTGCGTGATGGTGCCTCCAACTTCACAGGGCTAGAGGCTGGGGAAGACTCTGCTCTATGGCTTGTGTCCAAACCTTATCAGTTTGTTCCCCTGATATTTCAGGTGATCACATTAAATAGCAGCTTCGTGAAGCTTTGTATGTGTGTGTTTGGCGTCTGTGTTTGGGAGAAGGGATTCACAGAATCATTAAGGTTGGAAAAGATCACCAAGATCATTAAGATCTGCTAAATATAAAACGCGCCGAGAAATGCAAGAAAAAAATGTTGTTATAGCAAGGTCATAACCATGCAAGACCTTGCTCAACAGTACTAATTACCAACAAAATGGTTTCTTCACATAGAGATCACTATAAATGGAGCTCATTATAAGAAAGGCTTGTAGAGGAGAAGATTTATGTATTGCCTCTATTTAGCTGGACGCACAAATATCCACACGTGTGTGTGCAGATGTGGAGAGTTTGCTGCTTGATGTGAATCTCACCTCAGAATGGCCACAGCTGGATATATCTTGGGTAACTCTACCAACCATGCAAGACTTGCTGTTGGCAGCTTGAATGGGAAAACATTCCTGCTCCAGACTGAGCCCTGTGGCTCCTAAACCGAATGGACATCCAACAGAAAAGAGGGAGAGAAATCAGGATAGGCAATAAAACAGCGTAGATAGGGCTGGGTGGGCAGCTCTTCAAGGAGAGGCCCGAGTGAAAATTCCTGCAGCAAACCAAGACAAACCCTTCTTTCTCTTTCCCTCTCCTTTGCTGGTCACTCTCCTTTCACAATCGTAGCTCGTCCTCCTTATTTTATTTTTTACACACATGGGTGTGACTAACGTCTTGCCTAAGGGAATCTTTATTGGAAATACATGGTATTGGAATTTGTTTAAGATTTTTATCAATAGCACGTGTGTCCAGCCTCACATCCAGAAGCGAGGGGAAGGTCAAGGGGTCACAGATCAAACTCCCGAAAAACAAAAAAAGGAGGGGTGGGGGGAAGCTGCTATTGATCCCGTCTGCCGCCACAGCCGGTTCTCATTTAGCTGGAGAAGTTAAAGACATTAAAGGGCTGTGACGGAGAGGGGAATAAAAAGCCACAGCCAAATGGAAGGAAAGGTCATTGAGGACAAGCTATGGGCAAGCAGGAGCGCTCCCGGAGAAAGAGGATGCACCTTTAACCCTCTGCAGATCACCCTCTGACAACACCACACTCATTATTAGTTTAACACCAGCAGGTGAGCCCTTTGGCAGGGTTTCTGGAGGAGAAACAGACCTTCCCTGGGTCGCAGTGCCTTCCAGGTCTGAGCTGTGGGTTGAGGATTGCAATTCCAGCCTCACTTTGGCTATAGCAGGATCGCAGCCTGGTTGGTTGGCAGACATTGGTTTTATGGTTTTTGTAGGGAAAGCTGAGCATGGAACCATCCCTTACCTTACACAGGGCAGGGGAAGAACAAACACACGTAGTTCTGCATCCCTAAGGGATGGTATTAAAATCCCCTTGGCTGAGCAGGGTGAACGTGCTGTTGGGCTTTTGGAGAAGTAAAAACTGGAGAGGAAGAAGGAAAGGGTGGGAACTGGATGATCTTCTAGGTCCCTGCCAATCCAAGCCATCCTATGACTCTAAGTTCTTCTTCTTTTTACTTTCTAGCAGAAATGTTTTACCTACAATACATTATTGGGGACTTTGGGACTGCAAGGATGATGGGAGCAATCTCTATACGGAGCAATCTCCATCTAGCAGGTTCCATTCTTCTCTCTTAGTGGACAGACTTCTTTGCAACACACATTCTTAGATCCCTCCCTCTCCTCTCCTGTTCCCAGTGCAGGGGCCACCCAGCACTTACTTTGTCCATACTGCCCATACTGGTAGCCAGCCACTGGGTCCACGCTGTAACTGGTGGTGCTGTAGGTGGGAGGACAGTAGGACTGCGAGGTCGGGAGGCTGTCCACGGATTTGATGGAGTCACTCCGCTGGCTGCAGCTGGCAGAGATGGAGTTGGTGGTGTCCAGGCCACCGTGAAGGGGAGAGATGGAGAAGTCAGCCTGGGGCTGTGGAGGAACCCCGCTGGGGTTGCTCAGGATGCTCATCACCTGGGGAAACACAGGAGGCAATGTGTCATCAGGGGTAGGAGAGAGAGAGTCTACCAGGATGGAGAATGAAGGCTGCTTCCACCTGGTAAAAACAGACCTCACTTTTGGTTCCCCTGTGCCTAAGGCTTTCTTTGGTAGAATTGTTGAATCATCAAGGTTGGAAAAGACAGCAAAGATCTCCATGTCAAACCAATCATCCCATCACCCATGCCCACTAAACCATGCCCTTCATACACATCCAACCTACTAGTTTCATGTTTTTGTTGCCCTCTTTTTTAATGTTTTAATAAAATATATATATATAAAAAGAGGTCTTGTTACTGACATGCCTTAACTATATTAGATATTTTATATGCTGCCCAAACCCGCTCCTCTTCACCCATTGCAGCCCAGGCAAATGTTGGATGCCCATAATGTTTATTTGAAAGACTTTCCTAGGGGACAATGGAGAGGTTCCATCTTGGCACACTCAGTCTTCGGTTGCTCTTTGCTGCCCTGCAAACAATGTCATTGAACACCAGAGAAAGGAATAAACCAAGGAAAGCACAAGGGATGCACAAGTCAAGAAACACAGTTTCCTAAAGGGACAGCAGCTACTGCCATTGGAAGTCTGCATGGGGGTTGTTAATGGAGGTTCTGGTTTTGATACATTCTGCTTTAGGACAGAAATGTCAAAGTTCTCTTCACCCTGAAATGTCCATGAGTTCAGAGATGACAGGTCATTGCAGCACGGCGCTTGGTTTTAGAACGTAATTCAATTTGCACACAAGCTATCTTCCTGCTCTGAGACATGAAACAGATGCATTTACGCTGTTTTTGTTGTGTTTTGTTTCTTTTTTTTTTCCCCACCCAAATGCCAGATTTGTTCCTGTGGGTGAACGTGGGGCAAGCCACTGCCTACAGGCCTCCATCCTGATATACTGCCTTAATGCAATTGCCTCCTGCAATCAGCAAAGTGACCCCTGGGTGCCTGGTTCAGGGTGTGAGGAGTTTGTGGGACCGGCGGTGCTGAATTTGTGCTGGGAGAGGTGAGGGGACAACCCGTCACCTCGGGGGGCCGCGGCGGCGCTGGGACTGCTGAAAATCTCCGACTTTAGCATAACCTTATTGACATCAATTAAAGTGGCAAATTGGAAATATTTGGAGCCTGGCAAGTGGTAAAATGAGCCCTTTATCCCCCGCCAGCGGCCTGGTGAGCTATTGTGCAGAGCATCCATTCTCTGGAAGGACACAAGAGTTGTTGTATAGAGCGCCGGGTCCCCTTCCTCTTCGTCTCTGTCCCCTCCTCCCTCACCTTCCTGCTGGACTGGGGCTTAGGGGATGCACGGCCCTTTGCTTTCTAAAGCTTCTCCTCCCCCCGGAAGGGCCCCGGAGCCCTGCAAAGCCGCTTTGCCTTGATGGGATCCCACCTCCTGACTCTGCCGGCATGAGATCCTTCCCAGATTTGTCTGGGGGGGAATTTTGGAGCAGGGCTGGCTGGGCCCCTGCGGAGGGGGAGTTAAAAAGCCTGGAAAATCAGTCTAACCCTGAGCATTGGGACAGGGATGGAGGAGCAAGCTTCGGACGAGCAGCACTGAGCTCACTTACCCTGCCCTCCTTTGAGTTTTCCAGCCTGCACCGAGGTTAGGTTTGCTGCTGGTCCACACAAGATAAAAAGCAATGGAGCTGTTTCATCCACTGGAGCCTAAATCCCCTCCAGCCCTCCAGGCACATCACCTCAATGTAGCCATGAGATGAAGTTTTTTAGCAGCAACCACTTGGAACCCCTTGCCCCATGACAGCAGGGGGATGAAGAGAGGAAATTGCATTTAAATATGCAAGACAGAGTGGATTAATATGAGAGCAGAGCTGTGAGGGTGGATGTAACGCAAACATCTCTGCCTCAAGGCTTATGCAACAGGGAAATCATGTGAGTGCTGCCCCAATGTTGATTTTCCAGCTGCAAAGTTGTTTGTAACCTTCCACTAAATCTGGGTCATGAACTTTCATCTGGCTCAGCCACGAATCCCCCTCCTCTGCCCCTCGGTCCCTGCAGATATCCCTCCTAGCACCAGGGCTGGAGGTGTCACAGCCTGCCCCAATGGGTATCCGGGATGCTCACATCTACAGCAGCCACAAAACGCTACTGCCTTTCACCTGAGAACTGAATCAGACGTTTAAAACAATAAACATCCTCCCTGCACACAGATATGTGAATTCTGTGTTATTTTTGGCAAGCTGCAGCTCAGGCAGCACCAAGCAGGGCTGTTTTGCTGCTCCCCTTCCGAGGTGTAGAGCTACAGATTGGCTGCATGCACTGCAAACCTCTGCAGGTGCAGAGAGAAATCATGTGCTAGAAAACAACGTGCAACTGGAACTACTCAGAGATCGGAGGGTTTGCTGGTGCTCTCCCTCCTGGCCATCTCCCCCATAAGAGTCAGCTGCTTTATATTACTCAGGAAAAATAAAAGGGTCTTAAAGCAAGTAGAAGTCATATTAACACTTCCGCTAAGGCCCTTTTAAAAAGAAAGGGGGATGTAAAGCTGTGTTGGTAAATGAAACCCAGACTCACACTCTTCACACTCGCAGGAGCTGAGACGGGAGAAGACACTTGCAGAAATCCTGCTAAAGACAGTAATTGTCTTTAATCGGTCAGAATCAGGGCTGGTTTCTAATCCTGGCTCTGTTACTGACTCTGAAGGGTTCGTGTGAGTCACTTAAGCGGGGACTCAGCTAACCTGAGCCATGCGATGCTGATTCTGGTCTATGCTAATCCTCCAGAATCCACCTACAGAGAGAGTGATACCTCTGAAAGATCATCCTCCCGTCCTCAGACCCTTTCCTGAAAAAAATGATGGTCAGAATTTCCCTCTGGAAATGCATAGCGAGACATGAGGATGCCAATATTACACCAGGATGGTGAACAGCCCCCAAAGCACTGCTGACCATGGGAACATCTGTCTTTTTGCCTTTTCCAGGCAAACTGCTGTGAGCAGTTTGGGACTGGGCCCCACCAGGACCCTGTTTGCATCCAATCCACCCCAGGACATGAAAGTGTTGGGAATAGCAAGAGCAACATGGAGATTTCTGCTCCATCTCTGCTCTGCATGGATAACCCTCGGCCAGCACTATCTGACTTCTTGATTCAGCTGGATAAACTCATTTTCCAGGCAACTTTTGAACTTAGGAAGGTGCGGGGGCATCTGGAGAAATCCCCTCCTCAAGAATGCCACGTCCTTCTCCCCTCTTCTTTCTGACCTTGCTTTCTTATAATTTATTACTTCTTGGTGCATTATCATCACTAACTAAAAATCAATACCCACTTCACATCTGTAAGGTTTTATCTGGAGGGAAATCTGCTCCCTGTCCATCACGGTGACTGACAGCCTTCTCTTTCCCCTCCCTCTCGTCGGCTGCCTCTCTCCCCTTCCCCATCTCCTTTACCTCTGCTGCTGTCCCAAATCAGTCACAGGCATTGCGTGGGCTTGCACTTTAGGCTAAGTCAATAACGGTCCTGGTGCTAGGAGCCTTCGGCCTCTCTCCTACCCTTTCCAGAGGTCATTTGTCATAGGGGAAAAGTGGTAGGGGGTCTCGGTGTGTTGGGGAGCCCAAGGTTACCGCACAAAGACCCTCCTGGATGAAAGAGCCAGCCTCCTGCTGCTGCTGCCCTCCCCACCCTCATCTCCCCCTGTTCCCCAAGCCACCCCCCCACCCCCCTCCGGGACGTTTCATCACTCTCTCCCATACTTTAAAAGAAGGGGAGTTAAAAAAATGTAATTAATTCCCTCCATTTCTGAGCTGGCCCTCAGGGCCTCTGGCCGTGGAAACTGTAGCAGGGGAAATGTGCACCCTTTATGATAAACGGATGCGGCTTTGGGAAGGGAAGAGCAATTAGGGCCTTCAATCTGTGCAATCAGGCCTTCAGATTTTAGGGTTAGAGGTTGGGGGGTGGTTGTGTGTGCCGGGGGGGCAGGAGGGGCTCAAGGGGCAGACAATGATAGGGAGAGCTGCTGTTCTGATGGAGAAGGGCACACACACGTCAGGGAAGGGACAGTGGGGAAGTTTGATGACAAACCCTTGCCCTGTAGATGTGGTTGGGACATGGGACAAAGCAAGGCAGCCCAATGGTGACATCAGACCCTGAAACACCACGGAGTGGATGCCCACCATACGCAGGGTGTAAATAGCCCAAGACAACAGGGAGGACACAGAGATGCTTTGAGGAGATGGCATCCCAAAATTCCAAAAGGATGGAAAGGTGAGAGCCTGCAAACACCGTTTTCCAGAGTGGCTCCCAGTGCTGCTCGTCTCTGTTTTTGGGCATCTGATCTGACAAAGCGTAGAGCGTCCAAAATCAGAGGCTGCCTTAGAAAAATGCTGCATTTAGAAACTGCTGAGTCTGGCTAAGTTGTGAATAAAGGGAAGACATAATCATCTGCAACTAGCTGAAGGGTGTTAACTCCAAAGGAGCTGCCAGATGGTCCCAAAGGAGTGCAGACTGAAGAGGGAAAAAAGCTCATGGCAGTAAGCAGTGTTTCTGAAGCTGCGGTGTTGTTTTCCTAGGAATGGGTAGAAAACCTCAGTTTTGGGAAAGGCTGGAAGCACGATTGGTTTGAATATTTAATACTAACCAGACAAAAGCCCTACGGACTTCTGCTGAGAAGAATGTGTTTGTAGGTTCTATGGTGTCAACGTTCACACCATTTCTGAATTTCTGAATATCTGATAGCCATGCTGGGCAAGGCTAGGGGTCTCTTGGCCTTCCTGCCTACAGGGAGCAGACAACTGGTGTGCTGTGAGTTCCCCTATGAGGTTTTCACCCCTGGGTTGGACTCCACTATTTGCAGTTGATTCATCTTCTGCTTTGGGCAGGTGATGCTCTGTCCTCTAAGCTACTTGGTGGGGACCCAGCTTTAACTTTTCCACCTCTCCCTGGCAGCCTTTTCAGCTAATCTTTTCCTTCCCTCTTGCAGAAGGCAACCTTTCCTCACACTGGTGCTTTCTGATCTCTGTGCATTCATTCTCACTTCATGGGAAGAGGGAGAGTTGATTATTCTATACATACATTAAATGGGAACAAAATGAAGAGGTGACCATAGGACTGCTGAGAGTTGAAGAAAGAGTTGGGAGGAGATAAATAGCTCCCAAAGATCTTCACTTGAAAGGAGGATAAATATATGCAAATATGCCCCTAGGTAGGCCTAAAATGACTTATGTAGCAATCACTAACACTGCACTCACAAAGCCAACTAATTAATTTTGAATATTTTCTAAACCACTAGACCCAGCTGAGCTGTACCTCAAAATGCCAAACCAATCCAGTAAGCGGTTTTGCATTCAGGCCAAGAAACTTCATAGTATTTGCACCTAAAAAAAATCTGATCTGTTCAGTCTAATGGCAATTCCCAGGAAATTTGGGAGCCCAGGGATTGAACTTCATAGAATCAGAGCATCATTACAGCTGGAAAGACCACTGAGATCATCTAGTCCAACCATTCACCCATCACCACCACACCAATGTCTTTCAGATGGAATTTGAAAAGCAAAAGGCCCCTCCAGTGAGGTAAATGGGAGTTTAGCCCTTAATTTAAAGGCAGCAATAATTTTGCTGTAGGAATTAATTGTTATGCTATCGATTGAAGAAGTGCTGACTGGTGTTTCCTACAAAGTGAGTGAGGAGTAGTGCAAATGTTTGCTAACCAACACTACCAGTGTATTTACATTGAATGGATGTAGACAAAAAGGCCATTCCCCACAAAAAATGGTCACCACTAATGGCAAAGGATTGCTCCAGGGCAACGATGTTCCATTCTCATAACCTCTTCCACTCCAGTGGAAAGTGTTTGGGGACGAGTGAAACCTGGGAGTTTCCCAATGCCACACCATGTGTGAGTCAGGAGCAGAGCCAGAACAGAAGAAGATGTTCCTGGATCCTTCCTGCTAGCATGGGACAGAGCGTGCCGGATCCCTTGAAAGTGATCAGCAATGGTTGCCAGCGAACAGTAAAACCAGAAATATCATCAATGCCTTTCAGTGACTTAAAACACCTGAGGGATGTTTCAGCGTAGTCTAGAACACAGTGGGTGAAATGGAGACGAGCATCATGTCCTAAGGCGACCCTGTTCACTTGACAGATGAGGATGGAGAGGGCTTGGGGAGATGCTGGTGGTGAGATGGAGCTGGGGATGCAATGGTGAGCTGCAGCAAAGCGGGCCAACGCGGGCTGCACAAGGGGAGGATTAGGAAAAAAAGGCGGTGGGAAGTTATTACCTGATTGTTCAAGGCTATGGTGAGGTTCCACCTGGAGCACTGCATCTTGTTTTGGGCACCCTGCTTCTGTAGAGATGTACAAATTATGGAGAAGGTCTACAGAAAAGTTTCTAAGCTATACAAAAGAATGGGAAGGTCTCAGCTCTAATGGTAAGAGAAATTGCTTAAGGCTGGATGGTCTGGGTAAGAGAAATGAGCTCTTCTTGCAGTGGGAATACTGTAAGGAAACCAGAAGCACCATGGGGTTAAACATTCCATAATGGCTATGAAGAATTTTGTAGCAGAAGCATAATTTGGAGGGAAGAGGGGAGGCATTGCTGAATTACATCAAAAACTGCTTGATCAAGAGACACAAAGCACTGCTCTTGGTGCCTGGGAGCCAAGCTCTACTGTCACCTATGTGAAAGCAGATGCTAAAGCTTCTAACAGTCTGGATAACCAGAGAAAACAAATAGACCTGCTGTGCTTCAAAATCAAGACTAACCCCTCCCATAACTGGGTGAGACTCAAGTCAGCCATGCCTTACCATGTTGAAACTGTTGAAAGGGCTGATTTTTGTTCACTGCTGAGCATCTCCCTCTGAAAATGGGCTTTGTGCTTTACTGACCATTGACATGTTTATTCACCTGATTGTACCTATGCAGATGTATTTATCCTGATGCTGTTTTATCCCAAAATATGTGAAGGCCAGGTGAATACACTGGGGACTCCATGGGGAAATTGCTTTGTTGGGATATGGGGTATCTCTGGGCATTAATTGCAGGAAGATGAATCTTGGTTGTGGCATTTTAGAACTCACAAAGTCATCGAAGATGAGAGAGCAGAAAGGCACAACCACGGAAAACAGGAATTCCTAAACATTTCCAAGCCTTGAGAGGGACTCAGGTTAGGTTCAGCTTTGGAAATGGTCGTGTTTTTTAATCAGCACCTATTCATCCAGTTCTGGGTAGGCTGAGACATGCTGACAGCAAGAATATACACCAAGAATATACACCCAACACAAGGAAACACCCGATGAAACTTCAGCCATTTCTCCCTCAACACCCTTCAGCATCCCCGCATTGGCAGAGGCTAACAAAGACGGCCCCAATTTTGCAGAAAGGTCTCCTTCTCCCCTCCTCCCCTCCTCCCCTCCCACCTCTCTCCCTCCTTTTATATATTTATTTCCCCTTTGCTAAGCCAGTCTGCGCTCGCTCACTATCACAACCCCCTGCAGACACTGGTAATGGAGTGCGGGTGCTGCCTTACTGCTTCGAAACAAGATTTCCTGAGATCCTTTGAGCTCGCTCCATGCCTCCCCCTCGCCTGCTTTTCTCTCTCTTTTTGGAGAGTGGAGGGGAGCCTCTATAAATGTGAAAGGAGCTGCACTACAAAGAATCCCCCGAGTGGCATATCCCAGCCTCGGGCGAAGCTGCTTGGTGCACTGATAGTCCTGCGTATCTGTTCTAGGACTCCTCTTTCTCTTCCCCTCCCTCTTTCTCTGATCAATCGAGGGCTGTAATCAGTTAAGGTCCAGCTTAACTGCAGTGTAAGATACACCAGTTAAGCAAAGCCAATGCCTCCAGGGTTCCCATGGTAAATACGGGGAGGTCATGGGGAGATGAAATAACCCTGATAAGTTCGGCAAGTGCAGTGCTAGCTAGGCTCGCATAGAACACTTAATAACTTGAGCTGGCAGAAGAATGGGAGAAAGGAACAATCAGAACTGTTTCCTATTCCCAGCTCCTCTTCTGCTTGTTTGCTTTGCTCCCCAGTTCTCCCCATTTCTCTTTTCAGCTCACCCCAATGAATGAACAAGCCAGACCCCGATCCTGTCCAGGACTGCAGGGTTGAATTCTCAATGACAGTTCCTGAATCCAAGGAAATGCCTTTTGCAGTCCTACACGTGTGCTCTCCCCTTGGGCTTCTCTCTGCTGCTAGGGAGCAGTGTGGTATTTCTAAAGGCAGGCAGCTCCTTGCTTTTGCCAAATGTGAATTTCAATCTGAGCTCTGGGCAATGGGGTTATGTCCACCCAGGCCTGGGGTCCACTGGGGGCATTATTGCAAATAAATAGGAGGAAAAAAACAAGAGAATAAAGCAAGCATCTTGCTAAAAACGGTGCCTTAAATACAGGATTACCCGTACCACCAAGGCATTCTACCTCAACAACCTCTACCCTGTTTGTTTCCATAGTAAATCTTCTCCTTTCTCTCCATAAATGTCCATCTTCAGGGATGGCCCAGGAAAAACGGAGCCCTTTACATTAATCACCTTTACATTAAGTTGATCACCTTCATGCTGGATCCAAACAACTTATGGTTTCCTAACACACCCTCTGGAGGGTTTGGGGATGACTGGGGTGTCAAAGGGATTTCCTTGTGCTTCTGTTCCTGAGCTCACTGCAGAAACACCCCCCCTTACCCCCCCCAAATTCTACCTGGCCTTAATCCTGAACTAATGACTTGATGAACACAATGTGAGGTTTGGATGCAAACAGCACCACATGGGCTGCTGTCTAATTGGACATCAGCCCACCAGGCATTGCAGATAGGGGAAAATTAAAAAAAATACCATGTAGGATTTATTAAAAACGATGCAGATGCACAAAGAGCAGAACAAAATCTTTAACCAGAAGCGATAAGAAAGCCCTAAAGGATTCGAGTGGAGATAAATATCCCTCTTGGAGTCCTGCAGCTCTCACAAAGGTTTTTGGGCTGGCGTTTCCCCGCAGTGTGAGAGGTGCTTACTTAAGCAGGGGATGGGATTACCTCTTCCCCCAGTGCTCTGGCATTTCTGCACTCAGAGCCTGCACAAAACCAGTTTGTATGGTCAGCCAATGCAAAGAGCTGAAATCCCAACAACAAAGATACACCGTTGAACTGCTGGCCAAACTATGTCTATGCCAATGGGAAGGGTCAATACCTCATTAAAACTAAACCTCAACCGAAAGGGAACAGTCACACATTAACCAGAGGAGCACATAAACCACAGCACAGCTCGATGTACCAACACAAGGCGCTTTGCATCTCAACCCCCCGATTGAGCCGGCTTTTATGAGAATACCTTGTATGGAAGAATAAGAAAGTGGCAAAATTGTGCCCTTTGCTGCATGGCCAAGTAGGGGAGATGGGGGGGATCACAACTCATAGTGCTCCAGCAGAGTTTTCAAGGCACCTCCTGCACACAGAAGTTTAAAAGCACACAAGGCGCTGCTGATCCAGAGATAAATGGTGGAAAAGGGATTAGAGATACTTAGCGGAGGAGAGGGAAGACTCAGGAAGGGCTGATTATTTTAAAGATATGACTATTTAAAGATAATGATTGCATAAATTTAATTAATGCATTTTCATGCTGCAAATGGCCGTTTTGTAATTAATGTATCTGGCCTCGCTAAGCATGGGAGATCACATCTCCTGCCCCCCTCCCTCCCTTCCCTATTCCCCCCTCCGCCTCGCGTTTAATGAAAGACAGAAAGCAGATGACAGAAACAATTTGTCAGCCAGTACGGGTGTCAGATGCCTAATTGGTTGCGCTGAGTTAGTGGGAAGTAAAGGGGGAGAGGGCCAAGGCTAGGGGGCTCTTCTCTCTTTATCCAAGGCTTCGGGGTGGGTGCCTGGATGGGAGGTGATGGGGGGTGAAAGTGTTTCTCGTTAATTGATGGAGATTAGGACACAGATTGGCTGTGGCAGGGACTGGGCAGTGACAAGAAGGGGATGGGAGAGGCTGGTTAACAGCCGTGCAAACAAGCTGCCATATCTCACCATGCATTAAGGCTGGCAGTGCTGACAGCACCGATGGTTCAGGTTGGTGTGTGTGGGTTAGAGCCTTAGGAAAACTGCGTGCCCTGTGTCTTCCCATCCTTGCCCCACTCTGGGATTGGCTTAAAAAGCACAAAGCTGGAGTTGATGTACGTGTCAGGTGGTGACTGAGTTCTGTGGGTGTGTTTGGGTCATAGAGATACAGCACAACCAATGTTCTCTGGTCATTATGTGGAGTGAAAACATCCTTCTCCATAAAGAAAGGCCCAGCAGTATGAATTCCTCTGAAATAGCAACCAGCAGAGGCTGCACAGAGAGGTGGTGATACCCCACCCCTGCAGACACCCAAGGTCAGACTGGAGGGGATCTGAACGCCTGGTTGAGCTGTAGGTGACCCTACTCACTGCAGGGGTGTTGGGCCAGATGGCCTCGAGGGTCCCTTCCAACCCAACTGTGATTCTATGATGAATTAGAGAGCCCAGGCTACAAGCGCCCTGAATCTCACTGAGAGCTGAGCATCCTGGCCCTGTCCCAGCACGACACGGCTTGGGTTAGCCAGAGTCACACCTGGGAGGAAAGCAGAGAGGTGCCTTATTTTTGCACCATCCCTCTTTCTTCAAGGCTTTTTTGGGACCTCTGTACCCTCCAACTTTGCTGTACTTGTCACAGGCACAAGGCAGAGCAGTGTTGCCACCTTACAAATGGAAAAATGAGCCCAATGAAGGCTGATAATTCAAGACTGCACCAAAGTCTCTTGGGATGGAGGAATTTGATCTTTCCAAATCCAAGGTTTTCGTTCCAGACAGCCTTACCTCTCCTCTCGTATGAAGAACAAGAGAATTACAGCATGGTAGAACCATTAAGGTTGGGAGAGATCACTAAAATCACCAAGCCCAAGGAACCTCAAAACATCAGTGCCATCAGATGCTGCTGGGTGTCCCTATAGGTATAAGACAGCCTTAGAAAAGTGTGAACAGCTTCCTGTTCCCACAAATAAAGGTGGTAAGTAGAGAGGCATGGGGAGAAAGAGCTAAGAATAGAAAATGTTGATTTCCCATGCTGGGCTCTGATCACATTCCAACACACCACCTGCAGAGATGAAGACACTGCTGGGCTCCTGCGTTGTGCTACACGTCCCTTTGTGAGGGGTCTGCAGAGGGTTGAGAGGTGGTGGAAAATGTTATGGGCAAAACAAGATACACAATCTTTTCTTTTAGATGAAAGAGTGACTTTCAGACGGCACAAATGGAAATGGAAAGGGGGTGGGCGATGGATGCAAGAGCAAATGCAAACTTTCTGATTTCAAAGAGATGAAAACAAGGTAAAAC